CCTTGACAGAGGTAGGGAGTCCACGGATTCAGGACACTGCATAGAATGCCAGTTGTTTTTTGGGGGGGCAGTATTGATGTTAGTTTTGTATTGTATTGTATTGATAAGTTTTGCTGCTTTTTTTTTTCCTCTTAAACATCCTTTATTTCGGGCATAACTCTCTAGGAGAGGAAAGGGAGAGGAATATTGGAGGAAATCAAGGAAATGTAAAAACAAAAGATATTAGTAAAATCTATTATAAATTCTATTGATAGCTTTTGTTTCCATATCTCCTAAATTTCCCAATATAGCACTCCCTCCACCCCCACCCAGAGGGCCATCCCTTACAACAAAGAAGAAAAAAGAAAGAAAAAAGGGCATTTTCCAGCTGTGCCTCCCAATGTCAGCTTATGAATTTTTTTTGGTTCCCACATAACCCTACTGACTCATGCTGATCACAAAAATTCCTGAATCTTTCTCAGACCTGCTATCTAACCAAGCCTCACCTCTCTTGTATCTGTGAATCTGCTTTTTTTTTCCTTTTGTACTTAAGTATAAGACTTTACATGCATCTCTAATGAATCTCAAGGGCAGCTGGGTGGTGCATTGGATAGAGTGCTAAGCCTGAAGTTAGGAAGACCTGAGATAGGAAGCCCTCAGACATGTACCAGCTGTGTGACCCTGGGCAAGTCACTTAACCCTGTTTGCCTCAGTTTCCTCTTCTGTAATATGAGCTGGAGAAGGAAATGGAAAACCACTTCAGCATCTTTGCCAAGAAAACCCCAAATGGGGTCACAGAGAGTCGTACATGACTGAAATGACTGAACGCCGCACTACTAATGAATCTCATCTTGTTACATTCAATCCAATGGCTGTCCACCATCTTTTTGGATCCTGACTCTGTTATCTAGGCCATTAGCTATCCCTCCCAAACTTGTGTCATTCACAAAGGTGACAGGCGTGCCACCAATGGTTTTATCCAAGGCATTTATAAAAACGGCATGAGGCCAAGCGCAGAGGATTAGGTTACTAAACCAGAGACCTGCCACACAAATGTGGAACCACAATTTCTCTCTCTGAGTCCGGCTGTCCAACCTGCTCCAAATCCATCGGATTGTTTAGTCATTGTTTAATCTTTTATCGCCTCATCTTTACCAGTAGAATACTATGAGATACATTACCAAAGGCTTATCCACAGCATTTGTCTCATCCACCAGTTAATAATCACGTCAAAAAAAGGAAATGAAGCTAGGCTGGCAGGAGCAGTGGATGAAGTCACGTGACTCTTTGTAATCACCCCTCCCCTTTCTATATGTTCACAACCATTTCCTAGTGAACTGTTCTAGCATCTTCCCAGGAACTGAAGTCAAGCTGGCTGGCCTATAGTTTTCAAGGCTCTGTGCTCTTCCCTTTTCTGAAAATGAGGACATCTGCCTTTCTCCAATATTGTGGCACCCTTTCTTTGTTCAACTGTCTATAAAGTATTACCAGCTCAGCAATCACATTATTTCTCTCTGGTACCCAAGGATGTCGTTCACTGGGGTCTAGGGATCTGAATTCAAGGGCAGTTAGGTGCTCTGTTACCACCTCCTTCCTTATCTTTAGCCAACTAAGTGGTGTAGTGGATAGACATTGGACCTGGAGTCAGGAAGACCCGAGTGCAAATCTGGCCTCAACACCCTTCTAGCTGTGTGACCAAGGGCAAATCATTTAACTGTTCTTTGCCTCAGTTTCCTCACTGTAAATCTGGGGCTACCTCCCAAGATAGTTGTGGGGATCAGAAGAGATATTTGTAAAGAGCTTTGCAAACCTTAAAATGTTATATCAGTGCCTGCTGTTCTGTTGTCCTGAATATCAATTTCCTGTTAGCCTTTCCCCCTCCCCCTCTACCCCGGCCGTGATTTCCAATACACAGGTCATTCTCCTCAGCAGAGAAATTAGAAGCCAAAAAAGAATCAGCTAGATCTGAGGTGCTCAAGGCCACACATGGCCCTCCAGGTTCCTTTTATCCTTTTATTAAGAATAAGTTAATAAGGTGACCAAGCTCTAGCAGAAGAAAAAGACCATGTTTTCCATAAGATCGCCTCTGTACATCCCCCTGAAATGCAAATGCCGCGCCAAAATATGTCCTAGGGCAGTAGCTGCCAACTTGGGGGCTCTGGACAATGTAATTTTTTCAAGGGTTCCAAGAATCCAAATGTGAATTCACAAATAAGTTAACTTTTTATATGCTGAATGTTTCACTAGTCTTCAAATGTATGTAGATGCTATTGTGATGAATAAGATACAAATTCATTTAAAAGTATTACTGATAAAAAATAATTTAAAATGTTTTTTTAAAAAGTATTACTGAATTGATACTAGCTTTTTGCAATTATGTATTTTCTCAGTGGACACTAACAGCGCAATTACTATTGTGTGTGGTAGTGAAAGGGGTGTTGCAAAATGTTCTTATGTTAGAAGGGGGTACTCATTCTTGAAAAGGTTGGGAATTCCTTCCCTACTATACAAGTTTTGGTACTGCTCCTCGGTCATCATTTATTACAAAGCTACACCAATGTTATGAGGCTCTAGCAACAGCAATGCAAAGGATGGCAATATCTATCTAAGCTCCAACTGATGCCAAGAAGTGCAGAAAACAGGCACGGTGTGTAAAGTAAAAATTCTAGTTTCCTCCTATTAGCCTTTCTGTCATTCTCTGACCTCATCTGTCACAAGAATCATAAATGCTATCAGCGGTGATTCAGACTACATCACAGCCATTTCCTTCTGCTCAGGGAGGGCAGAATCTCAAAAGAGCTGCCAGTCAGAACAATACTGAAGCTGCCACAGAAGTGACTGGAGAAAACAGTGGCAAGAAGCATCCTTCCATCCATCCATCCATCCATACATCCTTGAGGCCTCACCGCGCTGAGAATCTGCAGGAACTTTAATACTACATGCCGAATTTTTTTAAATGGGCCTGGTGATTCCATTCTCCCTTCTAGAACACTTCCTCTCTAGCCCTTTTGTCTCAAACCACCTCCAGAGGGTCAGGCCAGGGGTGGGACAAGGATTTTGGACAGAAGGCTTGTTTTATGGAAGGAATGAAGATAAACACAGCATTCAGTGTCTCCAGGTCAAAACAGAAAAGCAGATAGTTTAAAGATAACAACTATGTTCTGGCATAAAGTAAAAACCATTGCTGGTGCTGTGAGCAGAGGCGCCACTGAAGGGAAGCTGAAAAATCCACCTGGCTCATTCACCGGGACATGAAACACCTCTTGTCCTAATATCAGGCTCAGACAGATAGGAGAAATTGGTCCTGCTGAGTATCACCAGGATGTGCTTTGCTGACATGCCCCTATCATAATGACTCTGTGTTACCACTTGCTGTCTTCACTGAGGATGGGGCAGTATCTGCGTGGTGGCTGGCTCTGGGGGAAGAAATGGGACAGGATCACCTCTTACTCTTTGGAAGTGTCAATCTTTCCTTACTCATAACCCCATTTGGAGCAGCACCCAGAGTAACCATTCCCTCTTCTTCCTGTTTAAATCTCTGGGATTGTCCAGTATGGCTAGCAGTTCCTTTTAGATTTGCTTTTACTATTACTGACAACAATAATCATTATAATAATAACTAGTATTTATAAAGCACTTTAAAGTTTGCAAAGTTTTATATGTTCTCATCTGATCCTTATAACAATCCTGGGAGGTAGATGCTATCATAAGCCCCATCTCACACATGCAGAAACTGAGGCAAACAGTGGTTAAATGACTTGGCTAGGGTCACACAGCTATTAAGTGTCTGCCTAGCACTCTCAGCACTGACAAAACATTTTAAACTGTCCGTAAGAATCATTCGCATATTCATAACAAGTTCTCTACTTCGTTAGACTACACTATGCCAACAATTTTGTGAGCTTCACAATCCACACACAGAAATAACCCTATCTAATACGCCTTTCCTCTAATGGAAGGGAGTGACAAAATATTTAAAATTTAAAATATTTAAAATTTAAAATAATTAAAAATGGGTGCCTGAAGCTCCACATTTCATTGCATTTTGGCAAGTTCCAAATTTCTATACTCACTTCTAGTTGAGGAATGGAAGGCATGGACTTCTGAATCCTTTCACAAGAGTAGGAAAAATTTCCTAAGTCTCACACTCGATGGTCACTGTGTAAGACGCTGTAAAGTTATTTTTAGCATTCCTTACAAACACTTGGCCCTGCTGATAACTACTGGGGCTGGGGCTTTTACACATTTTGAGTCAATCAAGTGAACAAGAGAAGGCGTTAAGAGTGGGAACAGTGTGTGCTAATGGACACTGTACACATGCTTCTTGGGGCACATAGGCTCTTTGGGATCTTTTGACCTAAAAAGTGAAATTTCCTATTTTTGCCCATCAGCCTTAGTGGAAGATAGCCTGGCTAAAAGCCGCTAGGTATCTGAAGGCCAAGTAAATACTCTCTGAAAGGTAAAAAGAGCTAGCTGTAGTGTTCCCTCACTTACAATGGAGAGGAAGCTTGGGGATTTACTTCCTTGTAATCATGGGTGGGTCATTAAAGACTTCTTCTTCTTCTTCTTCTTCTTCTTTTTTGCTGTAAAATATAAGGACCCTTTCCATGTGTGAGTGGGTGTGGTATCTTTAAAGTTATCAGAGCAGTCCAAACCAGCATTTTGCATTCAAGGATTATATTGATAACAAAACATTTAGTATAGGAAATAAATATCTTTAGGGATCACTCTCTCCACCCCCAACTGTTCCAAATGAATTTGTTTAATACCATAAACTTTTAAAACTCCTTTACCATATCCCTAGATCTTCATTTTCAGGAATTACTTTTGGACAGCTCCTCATTATCCATCTGGAGACGCCTGGCCCTTTCTCTCTAATGATGACAGTCCCGACATGGATCATTCAATCCTTTAATAGTTTCCTTTCTGTGAATTTCGTGTGCTGACAGGACCAAACAAAGCCCGTTTACTGAGAGCATTTCCAATTGTTAGACACCCATAAATTCTTTCCACTCACAATGATTCTTTATTGTGTCAGGAACAAGAGAACTCTCAGAACCATATATCCTAGTTCTTCCACGAAGTTGCTCATTACAGCCCATGGAAGAGAAAAGGTGTCCCCTGCTCAACATTTATCCAGGAATAAACTCCTTCAATCAGAACTAGAGCGTTCATATAACGTAAGGTAAATGCATGGAAGGGATGCAAGGTGGATGACGCCACGGCTATGCTGCTGACCACAAAATATTTTTGTGCTGCCTCACTGATGTCTTTGCAGCCACACTTGGTTTTTGCCTAGATGAAAGTACCATTATGAGCCAGCATGAATTCAGGAGAAACAAATGAAGATAGGGGAATAAGAGGCAAAAATGAAAGTGTGTAGGATGGGCATTACAAAGTTATTGCCATGGCTCAGTTGGTATGGGAAGTGCAGGAGAAGAGAGGGAAACAAAACCAGCCCAAGTTCCATTTTGTTGTGAAAGCTATGTTCTGCATGTTTCAGGATTTCTCAAAGAATATCCTGCAGAACTCAGCCCCTTGAAAGAATTTTTTCCCAAGATCTTCCTGTTCCTCACTTGTAAGTGTGCTGATTAATAATTCATTTATAAGGGTGGGGAGAGGGGGGGGATCTGTACCTTTCCTTCAACAGTTAAAGGCGGCCTGACCATGAGAGGCTATTGGGACTTGGCCAGAGAGGCTTGCCATACTTTATGAGTCTGCACTGGTCAGCACAAAAGAGAAAGCAGCTCCACAAAGCTCCTTAGAAGAGATGCCTTGGGAGGAAGCAGAAGACCCTCGCTATTTCCCCCCACCCCACTCTTGCCCCTTGACCAGAGGAAGACTTCGTAAATGTAGAAAGGTCCAGAGGACACTGTCCCAGGAGCATTCCTGCATGGATCATGGTGGTGTGGAGCGGAGGACAAACCGGATACATGGAGGAAAGGCAGCCTCAGGCTCTGAAGGAGCAGAAAGCTCTCCTCTGCCTGAGCAGCACATGTGAGAGGCTCCAACCAAAACACTTTGGGGGGCTACAAAGGACTCCCTTTGCCACATGGACTCTGTGTGAGCCCACTTTTCCTTGCACTTAGGGGGATTTTGTTTTGTACCAACTGTTCTTTCTTTATCAAGTTGGACACTTTCAGTATATCAGAACTGAGCTAACCCAACTACAACGGTGTTTTTGGGTAAAGCCCAAGGGACTGAGTATTGGCTTTGTTTCTAGTTCCCCAAAGCTCCCCAAGTACTACAGTACTAGTTTGTACATATTGCTGTGGTTGTTTGTCCTGCTCGCGAGACTGGGATGAGCGCCTTGAGGGCAGGGGACGGCTTTCTGCCTTTTTTCGTGTCCTCGTCACAGTGCCTGGCACTCAGTAGGTGCTTAGCGAATGCGTGCTGCCTGACCATTGACTATGTCACCTTAGTAAATACTCATTCTTAACAGTTAAGTCTAGCAGGCTGATATCAAATGATAATCAGTGGGAAAGGGGCTCGTGAGAATTTGAAAACAGCCTCCTAGCCCCGTGGGGTCCTCTAGAAACGTGAAGGGAGAATTAGCAGCCACTATCAAGAGATGCAACCTGCCAGTGTGAACAGGGGGTTGGGAGAGTGAGTCCAGAGCCTGTACTTATAACATAGGGTAGACAAAGGAGTGGACTTGGGGCTAGGATGACCTGAGTGCTAATCCTGCTCCGAGACACTGTATGACTCTGAGTTACATCACTTAACCACTCTGAGCCTCAGTTTCCTCATTTGTAAAATGGGGATGATGCCATGTAGCTCACAGGGAGGATTCAATGAGATTACCTAAAGGAAGCACTCAGCAAACCTAAAGCACATCAATGCTAGGAGTGGTGATTATGGTAACCAATAACGTTGGTGCATTCAGAGCTTTTTCATTTGGGCTGCTCTGCTCTTTGATGTGATGGCTTGGATTGGAGCGAATTGATTTTCCATTTGAAAATATCAGTGCTTCCAGGCTGGGTAAATCGGCTTCTTGTTGAAGCAGGCTTCCTCCAGACTGTCAGCCAGCCACAAGAGAAGGACCAATTTGGAGGGAGAACAAGAGCCCAGGCACCATCCCCTACAGGAGGGCTTCTTCAGACACTCCTAGGGAGCGACCTAGTGCACAGAGCGCCGGGCCTGGGCTCAGCAAGGCTGCAGTTCAAATCTAGACTCTCCCATTCCCTAGCTGGGTGATCCTGGACACCTGTCACTTAGCTTTTGTCTGCCTCAGTGTTCTCATCTGTAAAATGGTGATGATGATAATAGAACCTACCTCCTAGGATTGTTGTAAGGATGAAATGAAATAGTTTTTGTAAAGCACTATATAAATGCTAGCTATTTATTATTATTTCCCCCATTGGGAAATGGCTAAACAAATGATGACATATGAATGTAACAGAAAATTATTGTGCCATAAAAAATGATGAAATGGGCAACATCAGAGGATGTTTGCCATTTCCTTCTCCAGTTCATTTTACAGATGGAGAAACTGAGGCAAAAAGTTACGTGACTTGCCCAGGATCACACAGCTAGCAAGTGTCTGAGGCCAGGTTTGAATATATATAACAACGTATACTGAGAAAAACAGCTCTGAAGGACTTTAGAACTCTGACCAGTACAATGAGAAATCATAAGGCCAAAAGAATGAAATTGAAACATGCCATTCTTGCCTCACAGAGAGGTGAGGAACTGAAAACGCAGAAAGAGATGTACATTTTTGGACGTGGCTAGAGTGGGAATTTATTTTGCTGAACCATAGTTCATAGTTATTATCCATGGTTGTATTTTTTTTTATTTGTTCAATGGTGCAGGTTAATTAAAAAATGCTTGTAAATTGAAAAAATAAAAATAAAATAATAACCTATTTTTAAAAAGATTTGGTCTAATGTTCTAGCCTGTCAACACACTTTTGGATCTTTCTGGATGCCACTCAATGGACAAGTTAGGTGGTGCAGTATAGAGCACTGGGGCCTGGAGTCAGGAAGACCTGAGCAAATGCAGCCTCGGACACTCACTAGCTGGGTGACCGCGGGCAAGTCACTTCACCCTGTTTGCCTCAGTTTCTTCATCTGTAAAATGAGTTGGAGAAGGGGATGGCGAACCACTCCAGTATCTCTGCCAAGAAACCCCCAAATGGGATCATGGGGAGTCACATTGAAATGACCGAACAACAACAAGTGTCACCTGATATTTTAGCTTCTCTCAGCTTTGTGTGACAAGAAAACAATCTACACCTTTCTTCAAATCATTGTCAAAAATATGAAACCAGGCCAGGGCCAGCACAGGGCCCTGGCGCGCTATCAGTCCTGAGACTCGCTGAAGCTGACGCTGAATAATTAAGGATGAGCCTTTGGATCCAGGCATTCCACCCCGTTCTGAATCCCCTTCAAACGCACTATTGCGGCCCGTCTCTCATCTTTCCCAAGAGAACAGCATGAGAGATTTCTTTCAAACGCTCTGCTGAAATCCCAGTAAACCTTATCTACGGTGCCCCCCTGACCTATGAACTCCTGCTGGATCCCTGGGATCACTCCTTCCCTTTCTCGATGTCCACCAAACATCTCTTTAATAACACACTCTAGAATTTTACCAAGAATTGAAGACAAGCTTACTGGCCTATCGTTTGCAAATCTCATTCTTTTCCTTTTTTTTTTTTTGTCCTGTAGTATTTCTCCTATTCTCCACAATTCTTTTTGTCTTTCACATGGTCTTTATTTTTCCTCTTGATTTTCAATATTTCTTTTTTTTTATTTTAATTTTTTCTCAATTACATGTAAACAAAAAATTTTAACATTTGTTTTAAAAAATTTTAAGATCCAAATTCTCTCCCTCCCTCCCTGGTGCTCCATCTCTGCTGTGTATATATCTTAACTTAAGGTTTTTATTCAGCAAAACTGTCAGTCTTCTGTCAGTCAATGTCATACCCAACTTCTATTCATATTAAACCACTGTGAAGCAAAAACAAATGGTTTGCCTTGAGAAGGTAATTTGATATAGATTATACATGTAGTCATACAAAACATTTCCATGCTAGCCATGCTTCAAAAGAAAACACAGAACATGGTCTTTATTTTTTTAAAAGTATGTATATAAACATAAATAAATATGTATTTATACATGAATCAATGAGTCTTTTGTTTTTCAATAACTTTTAAAAATATATGCCTCTCCCCTTCCTGATCTTTCACATAGCTCTGGGGGTGGCTCAATGATTGAGTCTACTCATTTTTCCAGTTTTTCCAACTCATTTTACAGATGAAGAAACTGAGGCAAACAGGGTTAAATGATTTGCACAGGGTCATGCAGCTAGTAAGTGTCTGAGGCTGGATGCCCTTATAACCTCTCCTTAACTACCTATTACTCATTTCTTCCTACACTTTTTGAGGTTAAAGGGCCGACCTTGAGGACCTAGAGGGCCACATGTGGCTTTGAGGCTGCAGGTTCCCTACTCCTGCCCTCCCCTTTTCCTGCTCAGTTACTGAGCTTCCATCCATCCTACCGTCCCTCTTCTTTTCCTCAGTGTAGCTAAAAATCATTGGTAATCTCTGTAAAACTCCACACAGTCTTAGTCTGCCACTTGCCCCCTCAAATGCTGGATTTGTTTTAGTGGGGATGTGGTTCAGAAATAAATTTCCCACGGACATGGGGCTAAGAACAAGGGAAGGAAATCAGATAGGTTTTCAATTGATAAATCTTTTCTTTTTCTCCTGAAGTATTTACAATATGGCGTGGGCACTGTACCGGAGACACCAAGAGGATAGAGAAACGAAACCACCCCTATGGCAAGAGCACTGGGGAAAGCACCATGTACACATAGGAGTAGCTATAAAAAATACAGGTAACTGAGGGGCACTAGAAGGGGGTGATCAGCAAAGCTGAGCTTTGAAGGATGAAATGGGGATTTTAAGAGGTAGTGGTAAGGATAAAAAGTCCATTCCTGGACTTCCAGAGCCAAGAGCCAGCACCAAGGTACAGACATGAGGGACGGAGGGTGGTGTGTGAGGACTGGCCTGACGGCCAGTTTGGTTGGACAGTAGAGAGTGGGAAGGAGAGTAATGAGCTATAAACCTGGAAGGGTTGGCTGAAATCAGACAGTGAAGTCAAACAGCACAGATTACACGATCGCCACGTTCTAAGAGCTTTGCTGAGCACTGAGGACACAGGCCACACCAAAGCAGTCCTTCCTTGCCTTTAAGAAGCAGACATTCAGTTGTGGGAGATGGTGTTGTGTACACATGTGAGTGCATGTAAAATACATACAAGCTGACATGTTATGGGGAGGCAGTAGCTGCTGCAGGCATTAGGAAAGGCACCATGCGAGTTCAGCTTTGGGGAGAGGCTTCCCCAGGGGTTCTCAGAGGTGCAGGGGAGGATGGAATGCATTCTGGCCATGTGTGAGCCTGTCCAAAGGCCTGCAGATGGGAGATACAGCATCATGTGGGAAGGACAACCAGGTGGCCAACCTGGCTGGACTGTAAGAGAGACACATCTACTAAACCCACAAAGGTGGGTGAGAGCCATTTGCGAGGGCTTTAAATGCCAAACTGAGAAGTTCTGTATTTGATCTCAGAGGTAAAAGGGAACCACATAGAGTATGCTGAATGGGGGAGAGACAAGGTCACACCTGTGCTTTAGGAAAATCACGTTAGCAGCTGAGTGGAAGATGCATTGGAGAGGGGGGACCTGAGGTGGGCAGACCCACTAGTGGACTATTCCAGGAAGAGTAGGGTGGGGGCCATGGGAAAGAAAGGAATGCTAAAGCAGGCCTCAAGAGCCCGTGCCCGGGAAGAGCTTGGCCTCTCAGCTCAGTTTTTTGCCCTGCTGATGACGTTCAGGGCCCTGCTCTCTGCTGCCTGCTCTTGTTCTGAGGACAACAGTCCAACCGTGACCATCACAGCATCCCACCAACTCTGCGACTTCCCAGATCATCTCATCCTTCCCTGGCCACCACTCCCCTATACACGAGGTGTCTCCCGTTAGAATGTAACAGGGCAGGAACCATCTCCTTTCGTATTTGTGCACTCAGCACATGGTAAGTGCTTAATAAAGACTTTCATTCATACTGGGTGAAGATGAGTGAAGAGTCAAGGATGATTTGGAGGTTGCCAGCCTTGGGGCCTGGAAGGATGATGGTGCCCTCGACAGAAATGGTTGGTTAGGAAGACGATGTAGAAGAGGGGTGGTGCTTGTGTGGACACGTGGAATCTGAGATGCCTAGAGGACATCCAGTTTGAAACGTCCCACCAAGTGAGCTGGCCTGGAGCTCAGGAGAGAGCTGAATGTGTGTCAGGAAGGTAGGAAAAAGGAACTCAAAGTCCCCCTTAAGAGAAACCATCTAGAAAAGGAAGAACCTTCATTTGCATTTTTGTGTGCAATGCAGGGACAGACTCTATGAACAAGGATAATGTGCTCAGCTAAAAAAAAATCAGTGCTAGCATATAGGTTAAATAAAGTTCTTTTCCATGTACGTGAGCTGAAGATGACAATGACCACTGTTGTCATTATGGGACAATTTCAGAACAGCTTTTAGATTTTACCAAGCCTGTAAAGAACCAGACACAGTGAAAAAGGCCTAATTAAAAACAAATGCAGTCTGGGCAAAATGCATGCATTTTTTGAAAACGGTAGAATTACAGGATCTGAATACATTTTCTTTACTTGGTAACTTGTATTTAGTGTTCAATATGAGAATAAATTTTTATTGGTTTAAAATTTGTCATGGTTCCTTTACAACATGTAGAGATAGTAGGCCAATCAAAGTGTTAAAAATCTGAACTAAAAATTTCAAGCCTGGCAATTTATGGAGCAATGACCCCATGACTTCAATTCAAAATTCTAGAATCTATTTTTAAAGAAATGATTAGTGACTATGAGAAGAATACATTGATCAAAAGGCCTGCATCCAGAACAGGACATGCCGGACTAAGCTCATCATTCACTTTTTTTTTTCTTTTTGGTGAGGCAATCGGGGTTAAGTGACTTGCCCAGGGTCACACAGCTAGTTAAGTGTCACGTGTCTGAGGTCAAATTTGAACTCAGGTCCTCCTGACTCCAAGGCTGGAGCTCTATCCACTGTGCCACCTAGCTGCCACCTATTATTACTTTTTTCACAGGGTTAAGAGACTGACAGATTGAGGCATTACATCTGAGTTATGGTTAATCTAGATTTTACCAAAACAGTTGCTAATTTCTGGAATGATCCTATCATGTACAAGGTGGCGTGCTGTGGATTGGGTGAGAGTCTAATTGAGTGGATTCTGAGCTAGTTGAAAGGGCAGACATCAAAAGCAGTCATCAGCGTCCCCTTAGAGACAGGTCACAGCATGCAGCAAAGCTCTGGCCTTGGCACTGTGGTGTTTCCTTTTTTTTCAATTAGTGACTCAGAAAGGCATAAGTGGACAGCACCCGTATCGAAACTACAGACCACACAAACCTGGGAGGAGGGACAGGTAGCTAACACATAGGACGAAGGAGTTAGGTAACACAAAAAGATGCTGACGAGAGAGAATATTGAGCCTAATCTAATATGACGTAACTTAATGGAGACAAATGGAAAGTCTTATCCTTGGACTCAAAAAATCAATTTCACAAGTACAAGATGGGAGAAGACACAGTATCTCTGAAAACAATCTGGGGGTTTTAGTGGACTACAAGGTGATTGAGGGTCACTGTGATACAGTGGTACACAAAGCTAGTGAGAGCTTGGGCTGCCTTGAGAAGCATCTGCTGGAACACAACCCGGATGGCCTTGGGATTAGGTCATGAGGATGTAAGTTGCAAGAACTGGAGTGTTTAGCCTGGAGAAAAAAGATCTAGGGGACAAGGTAGTGTCTTCAAGTGTATATGAAAGAGCTGCTAGCTCTGTTCGGTCTGGGAGGCCAGCATTAGGTGCATGTCAACTTAAGTGGACAAGCACTTATTAAAACCACACTAAGTGCCAGGGCGGCTATGGGGTGCCGTAGTGCCCAGAGTGTCAGGCCTGGAGTCTGGAAGAATCATCTTCCTGAATTAAAATCTGGCCTCAGACACTAGCCGGGTGACCCTGGGCAAGTCACCCTGTTTGCCTCAGTTTCCTCATCTGCAAAATGAGCTGGAGAAGGAAATGGCAAACCATTCCAGTATCTCTGCCAAGAAAACCCCCAAAGGGGTCACAGAGAGTGGGGACACGCCTAAAAGTCTGAACCACAAAGTGGACTGCTTCAGAAGGAAGTGGGTTCATCTTCACTGCAGGCCTTTAAGCAAGACTGGCTGTCTCCTTGGATGGGTATGGAGCAGGGGTACTTGTTCAGGTACAGGTCATGCTCAGTGGCCTCTAAGGTCCCTTCTAGTCCTGAGATGCAATGATCCTGGAGAATATAGTAAGAAATACAAGACATGCTTCCTGCCCCATGGGGCGTGTCATGGTTGGAGGGATGGTGACTGGACATGAAACATTGGTGGCTTCTACAGAGCAGCTTATGATCTGGTGCTAAACCGAGTGGTCCAGACTGTAAAATAAAGGAGAGAAGGGAGGTCCAGAGTAATACCAACAATAGCCGATACTCCTATACCACTCCCTGTAAGAGAGCAGAGTGAGCTTGACTTTGATTCCTGAGAAAAATTTTACAAAGGATTATTAAAGAGATGCATGGTGAATATTTGGAAAGGGAAGTGGTGATTCCAAGGAGCCAGCGTGATCCCATCAAGAACAGGTCACGACACACCAATTTCACTTCCTTTTTTGACAGAAATATTAAACTAGTAGATGAGGGGAATGCTCTGGATAAAGTTTACCCAGATTTTAGGAGATTTTTTTTAAAGTATCTCATACCACCCTTAGAGAGATGGATTAGGTAATAATAACACAGCTAAAAGGATTCAGAACCAGCAGGATGGCTGGACACAGAATTGTTAATGGTTCCTTGTCAATGTGGTAGGGTGTCTCTTGCCAGGAGATCTCTGAGGGATCTACTGAGCCTTGTGCTGTTACACGGTTTTTTGTCAGTGACTTGGATAAAGTCATAGATGGCCTGTTCATCAAATTCATAGATACCACCAAGCCAGGGAGGGAGAGAACACAATGGATGATAACGGAGTCTGGGTCCCAAAGGCTCCTGATTGGGGGCAGCCAGGTGGCGCAGTGGATAGAGCTTTGGCCTTGGAGTCAGGAGGACCTGAGCTCAAATCTGGCCTCAGACACTTGACACATACTAGTTGCGTGACCCTGGGCAAGTCACTTAACCCCAACTGCCTCACCAAAAAAAGCAGAGAAACAAACAAACAAATCAAAGGCTTCTGACAGGCTCGAGCACTGGGCTGAAGCTAAAAGAATGAAATTCTATGGGGATCAGTGAAAAAATCTTGTACAAAAAATAACGACACAAGTTATTAAATACAGCAGTTATCCTGAAAAGGATCTGGGGGTTTTAGCATAGTCTACGTCCCCTGTAAGTAAGCGGTCCAAAGAGTGGATCTAGTGTTGAGCTGTATTAGGAAAGTCACCCCTCCAGGAAGAATCCCACACCTGGCCCTTGTCAGACTCACCTAGGGTGTTGCATTCAGTTCTGGGTGCTGGGGTTTAATGAGCACACTGATAAACTAGAGAGCATCCAGAAGGCAAACAAGATGGCAGAATCTTGAATTCATGACACAAAAGAGCATGTAAAGAACTGGGCATGTTTACACAGGATAAAACAAGACTTGAAGGAGATGTGATAACTGTCTTTGAAGGGCTCTCATAATGAGAATGGCATCTAGGTGGTGCAGTAGATAGAGCTTGGGACCTGGAGTCAGGAAGACCCGAGTTCAAATCTGCCCTGAGGCACTTCCTAGCTGTGTGACCCTGGACAAGTCA